TAGTTTCCATAAGAGCAAACCGATTGCCGATACACTTTCTGGGCCCAAAACCGAATGGTAGATAAGTGTAGGGTAATATGTTATCTTTGTTTTCTTCGCTGAATCTTTCGGGATCGAATTTATCTGGATTCGGAAAATACTTCGGATCGTGATGTATACTATAAACAGGAAACAGCACTGCAATGTTAGGTTCGATGATTACATTCTTGCGACCTGGTTGCGATGGAGGCAGTTCGTATCTCTTTACACAAAGTCTGTCTGTGACAAGCTGTGGTGGATATTTTCTGAGAGCCTCTGAAATTACCATATCCATGTAAGTCATCTTGGATAGCGACTCGTAAGAAATCTCACTGTTTCCGTCGGCAAGATGTTGCTCTACTTCCAGGCGCAAACGATCTTGAATATCTTGATTAACCGCCAGTTCGTGAGCAACGAAACACATAAGGGTCGCAGTAGGTTCAAAACCCGCAAGGAAAAAGATAAAAGCTTGCGAAACTATGTCGTCCAATGACATTTTGTGCACACTGTCTTTATACCGAGACTGCATTAACAAATGGATCATGTCCGGTCTGACAATATTTTGTTCTTCTCGGGCTTTAATTGTTTCCTGTACGATCTTTTTGAAAAACTCGGTCGTAGTCGATGGAATAAAAGACAGCCCAATTGATTTGGCAAACCGTGGAAGCATGATTAAAATCATTAACTTGGCCATCCCTAGTAGTCCCGTAGGAAATTTAGTCATGTTCACTCCTCTTATGTAGAATTCATTGTCTCGATCTTTCATAGAATTTACACTTATGCCAAAGGCTGCTGTAGCAATTACGTCGGTAGTGTATCGTCTAAAGGCCTCCTTCGTTTCGATCGAATGACGAAGCTCCGGATGGTCGACCAAATAGTCGACAAAATCGTGAGAACATTTTGATAGCAAATCAAACATAAACTTCATTTTGTTGGCTGTAAAAGAGGGGCTTAAGGTATTCCTCATTTCTCTCCAGCGATCTCCACGCAAACCGAAGACGGTCTTGCTTAACAACGGTTCTGCATTTTCGTCAAGGAAGTTTCGATGATCCGGAAAATGTTCAAAATCCTTTACCACGATGTCTTTAATCAGCTCAGGATCGTGCACAATCAAGGCAGGCTTGAAGAAATCCACTGCTCCAATGTATTTAGCGTCAGGGAAGTAGTTGTACAAATATTGGAAATATTCAGGGAAAGAGATGTAACCAATAACCAATTTCCAACCCATAAGAAAAGATGATAGCGAATTTGGCAGGTAAGGTAAGTCCTTATTTTTCCAGTAAAAATATGTATAATGCAGAAAAGTGATAATTTTCAGAACGCTGATGACGATCAGAGTACTCAATAATAGTACAAAAGGCGACAGAAGCAATGATGAATCCATCGTGATATAACAGAGTAATACACAAAGATCGAGATGCTTTGTCGGACACTGCGTAGAACGTTATGTGTGCGTAGAATCCCTCTAGTCAGAGTCTCAGAGTCAAGGCAGGCCTTCACGTATTCACTTATTCACTAACACATCAGTTGGTCTGGCCATGGCCATAGAACTTATAGTGCATGGAAGGGGACTGCCCATAAGTTGAACAGAGAGATCTACGTCCGATATATCTCTCCCTCTTGCGATGTTGATTTTCACAATTACGCATGCGCGACTTGCGTGCGCACCTTTTTATTTCTGTAGCGGGAAACGACGCGCATTTTCAAAAATCAACTGAGTGAGAGAGAGGAGTATAGATTCTCTTTCTCACTTCCGTTTGACACTATTCGGTTCCTCATTCCCCTTCCATGTATTGTAAGTTCTATGGCCATGGCAGCTCACACTAAGAAAAGTTGGCTTCACATATTCACACGTATTCACCTTTTTCACTAACACATCAGTTAGTCAAAACATGGCGCCGACCAATCGCGAGAGAGCTTGCTTATGTCTCGGCTCTGACTAGAGGGACTTTATGTGTGCGGTATGTACGTGCGCGAGGCTATTATAGAAAAAAACGGCGGGAAGGGGAAACGTTTCTCGGTGTAATCAGGATGTTGCGTTAGTAATTGCATGAGAACCGTTAATCGATTTACGAACAAAGATATTTTTGACTATTATGGATTCTATCAAAACCGAACTTTATCAATTTAATTAAAAACAAATTTCTTTCTCGTTTTGTGAATCTCTTTCACGCATATAAATTAACGATGTCTTCAATACGAAAATAGTTAATAATAATTACATAACAGTTTTTATAGGTTTATCATGTTCTTTTTGCATTGTAGATTTAATATTCCAGACCATTACAAGAAAGAACTAATTATGCATATTAAGAAATTTTTGTTTAATATAAAAAAAATGATAATAATAAAAAGAAAACACAAAAAATAATTAAAAGAATAATTTTTGCATTATTTCTTTTTACACAAAATCAAGTTCTACGAAATAAGAAAAAATTGTTCATATATAATTATATATGTATATTTTTCATCATTTAAATATGATTATACAAGGTGATTTTTTTAACCTAAAACTTTTAAATATCTTGAAAAATAAGCACACTAGGAAAAAATGTTTCAGACAAAAGTTTTTGGACTTCGAGGGGGACATAAGATGATAACATTGGTTTGACTCTGAGT